TTCGTGCTCAGTGAGATTTGTTAAATAAAAGAAGCCTCTTTTGCTACAATGTACCAATGTTATTATAAAACAAATGGTAAATGCCACAGTGCAGACTATCGAATTATGGATGCACTTGGGAGGTTTGCTAAGCACTCAAGAAGCTAGGGTCGCTCTTGATTATCGCCTCGCGCGACTCTTTCGCTTCTTTCGCGCTCAGCAACCTCGCGTGTGCATCCATAACTCAACAGTGCACCCTGTGGTGTTTACCATTTGTTAATTAGAGAGGCGATCAGGATAGGGAAAAGTTGAACTGATAAAATGTATCTGATCTACCTATGGCTCTTTAATATTCTTATGAAACTTCCGCATAAGCAGTTCATCAGCAGTCAATTTTCTATGCTCTTAAAATTCTGCTAGCGACGACTCATTCCCCCACTACGTTTCCCATGAAAACGATCCATCCCTAAAATCCTCTACCTCCCCCCCCCCGGCCCATAGATATGGTAAAGATTTACAGAGACTTGTCTAATTCTAAACTACAAAGATATATGAGACAAAAACAATAGCCAATGTTCTCGTTTGTTCAATAAAATTTAACACTAAAGGAGTCTTGTATTTATTTACGCTACACCTTTCAAAGACAAATGAATAAAGGGGGTAAATTTCTGAAGAAACTGTGGTGCTGCGTCGGTGGGGGTAGTAAGGTAATTTGGTTATATCAACTAAGTTGAAATTGTAAATTGGCCACCGTAACGAATAAAAAAGCTGACTTTTCGAGCATTAGCCCTTCGTCAGAGCGAATGGAGGAATATTGTGGGTTGTGTGTGTGTTTCGTGTATATAGTGGAGTTACGCTACAGGTGGGTGACGGGAAAACAAAAATGAATTAGTACAATAAAAAGCACTCGTTGGACAAGAGTATTGAGGCTTTCCGATCTACCTAAATGTAAGGAAAGACCGCAGACTGCCATATGCTGCTTAGAATGATTAGGTAGATTAAGGTGTCTAGCGACTGGTTATGATGCGTCCTTGCCATTTCCTTCGTGCGTCGCGAAGGTGTTCTCCTAATCGGTCACCTAGTAATCCTCCTATTTCGCCGATGTATATCTTGACGGAGGTCTCTATCCGATGTAAAAGGTGTTTCTTAGTAGGCTTTTTAGCTGATTTCTTGGGCATGTTAGACATTTTCTGACGCAAGGAATGACTCTTTTTTATTAATGGATCCCGATATTTTCTCAACGTTGCGAATGAAGGGACAAGCTTTGCAAAGATTCTGACGTTTTGAATTAACCATCCAAACTTAAGAGCGGCCGTCCGTAAATGTCGCCTGGAGGTCACGGCAATATGAAAAAAATCGAAAATCCCCAAACTGCCAGAATATAGGTCTGGATGAACTATTTCTAGAAAAAATACTTTGAGTTCAATTGCATTTTTATTTTTCGCGAATGGCAGCAAAATTGGTTTTGTGGCTCTCAAGTCAGCTTCACGAAGTTTAGACAACCATTATTTGATCGTCGCTCGAAAATAAACAAAACCGTAAATGTGACCAAATATTTTCCTAATGAAAAGAATATGTATTTACAAAAAGTCTGAAGGATTCTTTGTTCGATTCCGTTGCAGTCTAAATTTTTGGGGAATATTTGGTTTTCTCCAATATTTCACTCATTTTGGCGGACAATAAAATGGCAAAATTGAGAGTGTAAACTCGCACCTTGGTACATGGCATGGGGTTATATCAAGTTAATCCAGCGAAAGAATAAAGTTTCTTCTTCAAATAACTCCAATAAAATTTTAGGGCTACTCAAACTACGAAATTTTAGGACCCCAAGCAACAGTGACTCAGAGGTCAAAACGCGCCATTCCTTGTCACGCAATTGGAGTTGAAAAATCAACAATGCCGAGTGGAAACGATAACAGACCGCTTTGGGAGCGAAATATCGTTACTAATCTGAATAAAAAGTTAACTTTCATCAACATTTGTCGTTTCTACTGCTCAGGTTAGCTGAGATTTAAAATTTTAGCGGTTATTTTCGAACAAAAAAAGCCGAAATGTAACATCGTCCAGTTCGAAGCGGCCAAGAACGGATACAAACCGTAAAATAAATATGTTTGCCATATTTACACTTTGATTTGCGTATCATTTATAAATTTGTACATACCATGCATCAGCGCCAAATATTGATGGTGTATTCGCTTGGTGAACTGCCCTCGCTCCGCTGTCTCGAAATGTTCAGTTAGGTTGCGTGACAGACAGACCCACAAGTCCTGGGTCACAATAATATTACAAGCAGAAGCGTCTTTATCTGAAACTCTGGCACTCTTCCTCTATTTTCAGTTTTTTTTGGGGGGACGTTTGATTATGCGCGAATACTTTTTGGGGCAGTCTTTCCCTCTATTCACCCCCCTCCTATTTTATTCACTGAACTATTGACATTTTACAGGCTTCATCAAATAAGCTTTCAAAGCTTATCTAATCAGCCGGGCCTGTAATTTTTTTAACATCTTGATTAGTGCAGGAACATGAATTGTGTATTCGCTTCAAAAGCCACAGCCGTTGACTGCCCTCCTGTTCTGTTAGGCATTAAGGCATTAAGGCACGCGTCTTTACCATAAACACGAGCACTCTTCCTTTATATTCAATATAGTTGAGAACCTTAAATTATACTTAAATGCTTGTAAAAACACTAGTAAAAACACATTACTCGTCATGTTACTGTGTTTTTACTAGTGTTCAACTTTTGAAGCTGCAAGCCTCCCACATTATTAGATGCCTGGGAATCGTAACCAAACATCAATCGCTTAGCGCGAAAAAACTGATACGATCACTGTGACACTTTCGATATACAAAGATAAAATGAATGTCTTCACGTTTGACACACAATCAGAGTACTGCTGCGTCGATAATCTGTACCACGGTGCGCTTTTGCACAGTTGTGTATATGTAATGACAATCTGTGACTACTCTGAACTTATTAGAGGGCCTTGTGGATGCAGTGGTTCTAACCCGACAAATGCTTTATGTGAGGCGATAGAAACATGCAGAAGAAACATCAAGAGTCACCTAAGTTTTATGACTGCTTTGATTCGACTTTGAAAACGGAGGCAGATTTTCTTCTCGCCAGGGCAGGTAGCATTTCAATATCTTTCACGATTTCTTATTGATTCTGTGGAGGTTATGTAGTGTCTAAACAGTAAGATAACTCGAGAAGGTATCTAACGATGGTTACTGAAGGCCTTGGACATGTAGTTTTGCTTCAGTTTTTTTCCCGAGTTATACTTCCCACATTAATTAATAAAAGTATGAGAAAATTAGGTCGTTGACTGTGGTGACGACAGCAGATAAAGACATGCTTTTAGTTATTACAAGCATTTTCAAACGTGAGTCCCCCAAATAACGTTCAAGCATAATTCAACGTTCCCAAAAGAAATAATACTGAATATAAAGGAAGAGTGCCAATGTTTGTGCTAAAGACGCGTGCTCTTGCAATTGTGGCCCAGGACTTGTTGGTCTGCCTGTCACGTAATCCTTACGGAAGATATCGAGACCGGCAGAGGGCAGTTCACGGCAGCGACTACACAAACAATATCTGGCGCTGATGCACGGTAGGAACAAATTTATAAACAATACTCAAATCGAAGTGTAAATATTGCAAACATACTTATTTTACGGTTGGTATCCGTCCTCGGCCGTTTCGAAGTGGACGATGTTACATTTTGGCCTGTTGTTTCGAAAATAACCGCTAAAGTTTTAAATCTCAGTTAACCTGAGCAGCAGAAACGACAAATGTTGATCAAAGTTAACCAATTATCCAGATTGGTAACGACAGTTCGCTCCCAAAGCGGCCTGTTCTCTTTTCTACGTGCGCATTGTTGATTTTTCATGATTTCAATATGGCGCTTTGAACGCTTGCGTCCCAATATAGCGTTGCTAAGCGGTATCCAGGCACGTGACCTAATCCTGCAAAAGGGCCTAAGTAACAAGGAATGGCGTTATTTGACCTCCGAGTCACTTTTGTTTGGGGTCCTAATATTTCGTAGTTTGAGTAGCCCAAAAATTTTATTGGAGTTATTTGAAGAAGAAACCTTGTTCTTTCGCTGGATTAACTTGATATAACCCCATGCCATGTACCAAGGTGCGAATTTACACTCTCAATTTTGCCATTTTTTTGTCCGCCAACTGAGTGAAAGGGTCTATTCAGGACAACAATGTGTTGCAATGAGTTTATGCTCTTTGATTTACCATAACAAACAAGGAATCAATTCTGCAAATGATCTGGTGTCAATAATCAATATTGGAAATCAGTTGTATTCAAGTTTGTCTCAGTTAACCAGACAATCATTTTTAATGCAGACAGAATTACGCACTCTTTAAAATGTGTTCGAGACTGACTATGAACTTCAACACAGTGAAKGTTACACTGGCACTATTCATCAAGAAGCTGCAATGGAAGGATATCAGTACTGTACCTCCTTAGATAGAGCCTTTCAATCACTTATATCCAAACATTTCAACAATTTTACCTTGACAAAAGGATGTACTGCAGTTGCTATTTAATGTAAAGGCAATGTTGGCTTGACAAGATTCGATTCTCATGCAAGGGATATTTATGGTAGAAGCCATTCTCAAGGTACATGTGTGCTGCTTGAAGTATCATCACTGAATAGCTTAGTACATTATTTTCAGAGTATACATAACGATATATTTGAGTTGAAAGGGGTTAAAATTGATAAAGTTCAAAATAGTGCCCATTTTCAGTCGTGCCTGTGAAACCAGAAAGTTCAATGTGAATTGTGTTGTGGCTGTCTATTCACTCTGTTACTTCGTAATAAAATCATGTAGATTTTGGAATTCAAACATCTTATCTAATTTTATTCAGTATGGCAAAAGATTATGAAAATTCATCTTTGAACAAGTATTTACTGTCAGATGATTTGCCAAAAACTGATGTTTGTGGAACTGAAGTAAGTTCAGATCTTAAAAGTAATTACAGTGAAGGAATATTGTCTGATTCAGTTGAGAACAAATCAATTCTCGAAAATCTTGTAAGAAATAATCCACAAGATTTTTGACGTGGTTTTCAGATTTTTGTATGACAAGTATTTTTAAACCTTCAAAAAGGTCAAATACGTGTATTCCCTCTTGCTATTTATAAAGAAAGTGAAGGTGCATGGAAGAAAATGATACACTTACTAAAGTCAAACTAAGAAAATCATGAACACCAATGTATAGAATATTTGTTTCACCGCAACTCAATAATACAAAACATCTCTCAAGTTTCACCAATATCTTGCATTCTTTTGAAACAAGATCATTAAAAATAACTCAGGAATATGAGAATTCACGGTTTTCTTAGTTTACTAACAGCCAAATTCTTCTCAACTCGAATAACTTGGGTGCTGCCACGCTATGAATTAATTATTCATCAAAAAATTTTAACTACGGCACTATCATATTTCACAACAACTTCAAACAAAAGCCCGAGTTCACGCAGCCATGCGTCTAGTTTTAGCCAAAGATAGACCAATTCTTGCCCATTGTCTAAATAACCGATTCTGATAATTTCACTAACTTTCACAAAACGTTTGAAAAATGTTTCATACTTTTACACACTTTAAACAGTCGGGAACAATTTCATTGATGAGCACATTTCGACTACCTTTTAGTTTCCTCAAAGTTAATTAAGTACTTCGGGTAGACATGAAAATCATTAAAAACAACAAAGATCGTCGGATCTTCCTCCCTATTTACTACCGAGTCGAAGAGGATTTCGGGTTTGCTGGGGTCTTTGGCGGGAGGTTTTTTCAGTCCTTTCTCGCCAACGGTGTACTTCCCAACCAACACTCTGGCTAAATACATGCAGCGTTCATCATTTGGGCCTGGTTGCGAGTATGAAAAAGAATAACGAGCATCTTTTGCAAAATAGACACCATCACCATACGCTGCACCTGTGAAAAAATACAAATTTGATATTACTCCTCAGGAAGTAAAACGACAGCAGTAAGTCACTTTGAATGACAATCACTAAACCTACTCTACGTACAAGTCATATGGCATGAAGGCAGATAACGTGGTAGATGGAGGGATATGGCTGGGAAGTTGTTCTGTGAATAGCTAGTGCAAGTTTGAAAAAGAAAGAAAAACAAAGATACCAAAACCCGCCTTATATTCTTTAAAATGCTTACGTACAACGACAAAACTGGCCAGAAGTCCACGAGAGGCATATACAGTAGGAGCCATACTTCATCCAAGTTATTTGGTACACCTCCCTTTTAAAGGACTGGTTATTGGTTAATCACAAGGATTTAAACTATTTACGGACTTCTGCACGTACCATGAACGCCACACAAACTTCTATTAAATCCCTGTACGTTGATCTCCTTCACACTGTCAGGCTTCGTTCCGTGAAACAGTTCCAGTTCGTTGTCGATGGTTCCATTCTTTTCATCCATGGCTTGTTTCCTTAACATGTACGAATTGAACATCGACGGATTTTGAATTCTCTCGATCTTTTTAATAACCACTTTTCCATTCATTAACCGAAGAAATTTCTCTCCAACCGCTTTATATTCTTGAGAGTCATTTGGGAGGCTGACCATGTGAAGGATCTCCTCTTTTCCACGGTCGTCCCGAGGTTGTGGATCCCATTCATCAGGAAGAGGAAGCACTGTTGATATAACAAAGTTACCTTACTAATTTCAGTAAAAATTTCACGCATAACAACTTGATGAATCTATAGCATTAGTTGAATTTGGGAAAAGATAAATCTATGATCAGCTAAGTTTGAAGATATGTCTTTAAAAAGTAACGCTCTTTCATTTCAAACAAGCCTCCTGGTGACAAACACTCAATCCTGTCTAAAAGACGAGAGATGAGATATCGACCGGTGACACAGCCCTTACCATCTTTACGAAGGACCATTTTGATGGCGCCAGTTCTCAGGAACGTGACCTCTTTGCTCCCGAAGTTGATCTCAGCCTTCCGGTCCTGATGTGTGAATAAGAGTGACGGTTTCTTCTCTTTATATGCTGATTCTATTTCATTATTGGCCATCTTCTCGAAAGCGGCAAGTTTTCCCCCTGGATTGACTAAGTACCATTGAACGGTTTTAGACATCTGCTCTGCACGTTCCTCTTTATGTTCTCTCTCCATCTGCTCTTGGATTACATCCGAAACTTCTGAGTTAACGTCCATTACATCTTTTGGAAGTCCTTCCAGTGTTAGCATGTTCGGCTCTGGTTGCTCTAGTCTTACGTCTCGAGCACGAGATTTACGTTTCAGCTCACGCATGCATCTTTTTGGCAGACGACCTATAATTTCGTGCCTGATGACGCGAGGGTTGCCACAGGCTTTTTCTACACCGTCTTTCAAGGCTGTCAAAATTGCATCAAATGACTCTGACCGTGCATGGATGACGATCTTCTTGCGCCGTTTTCTTGTTAACACATCGATAGACGCTCCTGAACCCATTTCGTAGTAGCCTTGATCATCGTCTTCATCGTCAGGGTGGGGAAAGTCATCAGTTTCGCCCTGGATCGCTTCCAACTCGGCCACGAATGCTGCAGTGACAGAATTGTCAAAAACTACAACTCTAATCTCCCGAATTGAACGGTCTGGTCGTACCATAAGTGCACGGATTGCCCCGAAGACCAATTCTGCTGATTCGTCCGCAGTTTGACCTAATCCTCCACTGCCAACTGCCGGAATAGATACGGATTTCAAGCCCATGGAGTCCACCTTTTCCAGTGCTTTCTCTACGCATGTCTGAAGGTTCTTCTTGGTTACAGGTCCCACAACCATATGTGCGATGCACTCTGCAGACAGACGCCCAGCAGATGTGATCACAACGGACCCAGCTGGGTGCTTTGGGGCTTTCGTCTTCAATTCTTTTTCGACAGTGCTCCCACTTGCCTTTATGATGGCTCCGCTCAAATTTCCAAATTTCATGTTAAGATCTTTAGTAACAATATTACAAATGGCATCTGTTCTTTGCTCGGTGATGTCTCCTTTCATGACCTTTAAAACCACATCTTCAACGCATACCTCTTTAGATTTAAATTCAGGCAGGGCAGGTGTTGGCTTGTTCTGACGAGCTTTTGGTTTTCGAATTTTCAGTCTGGGCTTTTGGTTTCCCTTGAAATCTCTAAATTTCTCTGTGAATGTTTCAATCCCCCTTTCATCCTCGCCATATAAAACAAACTTAAATTCTTCCAGGGGTGAGTCTGGATTTGAGCGGCTGTAATCAACTGCTGCCTGGATCAAAATCTGGACCGCAGTGTCACAAGGGAAACCCAAGTTACCAGTTCCCACAAGCGGCATACTTATTGAACATGCACCAAGTTCTGAAGCTTTGTCAAAGCACTTCCGAAAAAGCTCTTGAAGAAGCTGTCAAACAATACCAAAAACAGCGTAATTAAAATAGCTTTCCCCTAAAACTAATTAACTACGTCGCTGTTCCTAAAAGTATGCAGGACTTTTGTCCCACCCAAACCCAATATATGGCCTCGACAACAAACTGGCCTGAAATAAGTAGCTCCAATGCTCAAAGGGATGGAGAATCTACTTGCATCTTCACTACCGAAAAACACTGTTTAAACTCAACGCTTTTTACAATTATCTTCAGTGGTAGATTCTTGATCAGCTTGGCTGTTAAGAAAATCCCGGAGCTCTATATTGTAACTAATAATATTCATTAGTCAATTTTGCTAAGGTATGAAAATGGTTATGGCAACAGGAATTTTGAGACATTTTCCTATGTCATTTCAAAATCAAGGACGATTCTAAACAAACATTTTTCCACACACAAAATGACATAAAAGTGATAAGTCACCCGGTAAAATATTTTGAGTTTTCAAAAAAATTAAAGTTAGCCGACCATAATCTTAGTCTGACCTGTTCCTGTTTAGGATCTCCTTTCCATGGGCAGCAAACACAATGGATCACATGACGACAGTGTAAGTTTCCTGGGCCAGTGTGAACGATGTCACCTTCATCAAATTGCTTTCCGAAAGTCTTTTTTCTTAACTGCTCTTGTAAATCTGGGCCAGCAGCTTTACTGATGGCATTTGCAATGGCACCAATGGCAAGATTAAATTTTGACCCGACGGAACAAACTAAAATATCAGCCTACAAAAAAGTGAAAGTTATACGGAGTATTAGAGAAATGAAATTCAAAAACTAACAGAGGAAAAAAAATACCAAACATGAACAAAAGGTTGTTAAGAAAATGAATAAGTAAGGGCAAGAGATTTTTCTCTCAGTAAGGGAAACATTGTGCCTGTCTGTACCGTAAGGCACAAACCTCTACCAATTATAAGACCTGGAACAAACCTGCTCATCTGCGATATTTCCTATTTTCCACGTGACATTTTTCCCCTCTGCAGTAGAGAACGTTTCTACACCTTCAAAATTCTCTTCGATTCCAGTTTCATCGCTAGATGGTTCTTCGCTTTCACTATCATCATCATCACCTTCGTGTTCCTCTGCTTCGTCCATTATTCTGATGATACATTTCTTCTCCATTTCGATGGTTTCTGTTAACCGTCTTCCCTCTTCCTGGGTCAGGAAAGTTTTCATACCAGGTAATGAAACTGTTAAACTTTTTTCTCTGATGTTCTCCAGCAGAATGTATATCCTCTCTTCAGCTTCTTTCACGCCCTCTTCATTCCCAGAATATTTTATTCTCTCTCCCCTTTCATCTACGGCTATTTGGACACCAAAATGGTGAAGTTCATCTGAGATTTTCTTCAGCTCCTCTTGGTAATAGTTCTTGAAGAATTTTCGATGAATTTGCGAAGTAAGCCTCGTTTCACCTTCCGTCGCTTTCTTTTCATTAAGAAAGTCTCTCATTCTCTTTACGGCTTCCATGACGTCTTTCTTGAACCCAAACACAGCTATGCAAGCCAGTTCACGTTTGTGGCGGATCGTAAGGCGTTTCACCAACTTCTTACATAGGTCGTCCCAGTTCTTTGAAGAGATCAGGTCGTTATCCGTAATGCGGAACTCAACATCATGGTTACTTACTAGTACCTCTTTCGCCTTGATTTTTCCTTGCTGGGTCTCGTGGGGTGTTCTCCCAAGAAAAATGACTTTCTTACTTCTGTCATCAACGTTAAAAGCGCATCCGTCTGGCAATTCTTCATTCATCTTCCTTCGTCCAACCTTCGTTTTTAGTATCTCTATAATTTCCGGGGGAACAGCTATTGCATTTTGGTCAATTTCGTCTTGACGCCTTCGGAGATAAGGTACGACGGATGCCATGGATCCCTTAGGTGTTTTAATTTCAAGGTTTTTGTTACTCGGATTGATCCTAACTTGAATGTCTTGGTGAACTTCCTTCTTCAAAATGTCCTCAATCCGAGCATTTTGGAAGAGAAGCAGCTTCTCGCTTGCTATATCAGTAAGCGTCCTCCTCTCCAGCTTTTTCTCGTCTTCTTGCTGCCGAATGACCATTAGTCGACCTCCAAGTTTTTCCTCAAAATCTGACATGTTTGATTTTTGACAAATTAACTTAACGGTACGCGAGTCTTTCAACAGCTTAACATGCGCTGTGAATTTTGGCAAAAATCCTTCTATCTGTGGTAATTGATCGGTTACTGCTTCCCAAATCTCTTCATCTACCGGTATTTCTTTTGCGGTGCAACTATCAATGAATGAATCGACTATCTCAGAACAGCGACTTTTCCATGCTTTCTCATCAAATTCGTTGTCAGTTTTCTTCCCACTGCATTCATATTTGATCAGCACGTACATTTCTCCGTTCTTCCACCGTAAGCCAGCGTGTTCACTTGAGTGAAGACGCTCTTTCAGTCTGGGCTCTTGGTTGGACTTTAACAAAAATTCCATGATGTCTTTGTCCACGAGCTTGTAAAACTTGGGCTGGCTGTCTCCTTCCACTTCACCTGAGGTTCCACGTGTTGATCTTGACGGTTCGTCAACAGGTGTGAGTGTTCCCATAAAACGGTAAAAGGCCTCCACATGAAAAGGTTTATCATCGAGAAAGTGATCGTCCTTGATAGACTGCAAAACACCTGTAGAAAAAGGAAATGATGAGGGAATGGTCATATTAACAAGGAGGCTTGGAGGAGAGATAAACGTAGTCATGTTGTGTGGCTTTTCTCCCCAAGCCTAAAACTTGCAACTGCTAAATTGATTGATTTGTGCGATAGCATACTTTCAAGTCCCTTTCCCCATAATTTTCTGGTGATAAAATTTTCATTCTATTTGGGTGCATGGAGTATACTTCTACCTGACATCTTGTTCACTGTATACCTTTTTTTTCAACTGAGCTATATATGTCCAAGTTAATCTATGTTTCAAAGTTTTTCCTTCAACACCAGGCAGAACCTTGGACCACATGATTTTTAGTCTTACTGAAAATCTTAAGCTTCCACCCAATTTTAGAAATCTAACCTTACCACCTTATAGATCCAATATAAAGTCGTTGAATAGGTATTTGATATAATTTGATATATCAACAAAGTTGAAATGGTAAATTGGCCACCGGAACGATTACAAAAGCTGACGTTTCGAGCGTTAGCCCTTAGTCGGAGCGAATAGAGGAATTGTGGGTTGTGTGTGCTTTTAAAGGCAGAAAATGGAGCTACGTTATTGGTGGGAACATGGCAACGAGAAAAACATGAATAAATTAGTGGAATGAAAAGCGTTCGTTGATCCCTGTGGGATTTAGACTGCCGGTTTGAAAGATGAGCTTTTGTTCAAGATTTTTACGGCTTTCCGTGCCACCTAAGTGCAAGGAAAGACCGCAGATTGCTATATGTTCCTCTAAAGAATTATTAGGTAAATTAAAATGTCTAGCGACTGGTTTCGATGTGTCCTTGTCATTCCTTTCCACGTCTCGAAGGTGTTCTCGGAATCGGTCACCTAGTCTTCTGCCTGTTTCGCCGATGTATATCTTTTTGCAATAAGTGCAAGTTATGCAGTAGATTACATTGGCGGAGGTGCATGTGAAGTGATCGGTGATCTTAATGGATCGTTTAGGTCCCGATATTTTATCAGTGTTGTAACTGAAAGGACACGTTTTGCATCGTGCACGAGCGCATTTAAAAGTGCCTGGTTGGTAATTAGTCTGAAAAGAACTTCTGACCAAAAAATTGCCTATGTTTTTGTCGCGTTTGAATGAAATGAGCGGAGGCTACGAAAAGATAGTGCTTGTCACTGGATTGTTTTGAAGTAATTTAAAGTTTTTAAGAATGATGGATTTAACTGAGTGGTTGTGAGGGTGAAACGTGAGAGTGAATGGAATGCGGTCGGAATCTTCCTTATGCGACGTTTGTAGTGCTGAATGTCGATCAATAAGTTCAGCGCGGTGGTAACCCGCTTGAACGACGGAAACAGGGTAACCACGTTTATCGAAGAACTGGTATTTGAAATGTTGGGCCGCCTCGACCCTAACCCTCACCCCTACGAGGAAACACATCAGATGAAACTGTTATATTTATAGAGTAACTCACTCTTTTTGTGTTTGAAGTAAACGATAGCTCTCTTTTCCTTCACTTTTTCGTCCCATGGATTGCTGAATTTAATATCTTCTATTTCACCCCAACCATCAAAGTAGCTTGCTACTTCATCCTGAGTAGTTTGTTCAGAAAATCCACTCGCGAATATGCTCTTGCACTCAGGGGCTCTTTCAATAACCACCTGCACACCTTCAAGGGGCCTATTTTTCGCCGCTTCGAGAATGTCTGCAAAACCTGAAACCAACAGATGATTCATTTTGTAATAAATACTTTATTCAAGTTCAAAATCGATCAACTATTTCTTCACAGCTGATACAAACCAGCGATCAGCGAGTTTTTTTTTTTTTCTAAGCTCCGAGGAAAAATACTAGTTATGGGTAAAATGTCCGTTCATATCAAATGTTAAATCATCGAATAATGAGAAAAGAGCACAATTACTGTTCGCTTAATATCGTTAACTATCAAATAAGAAATTTTTATTCCACTTCTATTAAATAATTTATTATTTTGACTTCAGTTTGCGCAATAAATCCTCCGGCATCATTTCGTATGGGGTACGCGAAAGACGAAAACATCAAAAAAAAAAATCGACACGCTTTAAAATTCGTTTCTAAAAGAAGAATCAAAAATCAAAGCCTAGATCGTCTAATGCAACTACTTTGATGCTCCTTATTTTTTTTATTTTTATAAACTGTGGCATATTTTGCGCGTTCTCATTATCTTTTTTTTAGGTAAAATGACAGTGGTTGAATAATAAGGTGCATCATACTGTTTAGCAAATTGTGTTACCTCTTGTGATTACCTATAATCTTGGGAGTGTCTAACGTCACAATGGCTTTTCCATTTGGTTTAAACCACTCGACATACTTCACATCATAACTGCTTATTCTTTCAATATAATTCTTCACAGCGTCTGGTGTTGTTTTGTAGTGTAAACCCAATACGTACAATTTGTTCCACTCATACTTGATGTTAGGCTGTTTGAATCCTTGGGAAGCTGCATCTGGACGCTGACGTGGCTCTAGCTCAGCCCCACTTCGGGGGCCATGTCCCCCTGGCAGAGATGGAAAATTACCGTCCAGACAATACTCTTGGAACACATCAAGCTACCATACTCGTGGAAAGTTTAAAAGATCAACCTAAGCGCTTTTAATCCTTTGAATCATCATACCAAAGCTTAAAGATCTGTTTTTGACTATAAGTCCTACTTTAATTTGAGAGAAAAATTCCTATTTGCAACTTAATTTGCAAATTTTCTACGGCAGACTGATTTTATCTATGAGTAACTTTTTACTACAAGGAAGATCTTCCTCCGAAAGTACAGGTGTTGAAGGGCATTTTAACACTAGAATTGGAATCTTTAGTTTGTAACCAACCCTAAACTGGCGTAACATGTGTTTCGTTCGAGAATATTACACTGATTTCTGGTTTTCTGGTTTTCCCTCTCCGAAAAAAATTAATATTCCAAAGTCGATTCGACCTTGATACAGTGCCAACTAATGGAAATGCCATTCTAGGAGTACAATTAATCTATTCCTTTCTGTTTTGTCATTTATTCTCTAAACATTCACTTTATTTGATGTCACTTATCTACCTCCTCTTTGTTGTGGTCCTCCTCGTGTGCTGTCAAAGCCTCGTCCTCGCCATTGTCCTCTTCCTCTTCCTTTATCCCCTTTCTTCCAACGACCATCGTAACAATATTCTCTGGCCGCTCCTTCGCGCACTTTCTTTTGCGAAGAATGCGTACCCCTAGCAGCGGGTTTCCCTCGAGGCGTCCCACGAGCTGTTTCATTACCTCGACCCCTTCCCCGTTCCGTTTTTGCTGGAATAAAGTGATTAATCGTTTCAGTCACACCTGATTTTTAGTTTACACGTGTCTTTCGAAGCAACATCCCTGGACAGGTTGAAAATAAATCAGCTTTTTTTACAAAACAGCCAGCATTTCATTTGAACAAATTGAATTAAACAGGAAGTTTACAAGTCAACAAAAGCTGGCTAAGAATTGGTCCTGTATAAGTTCATGTATTCAGCATTCAGGTTCCCAGTTGGACGAGGGCAAATGTAAGGAGCTATGCATCTCATTTTCAAGATCCCCACCTGACTTTGACGTAATTGTGGTCAATAGTAAGGAGTTAGAGTGCGTTCATAAAGCTAAGATGTTAGGCGTCACCTTCTCAGTTGATCTTAAATGGAACGCGCATGTAGATGAGATAGTAAAGAAAGTCAACAAGCGGCTTTCCTTCCTACGCCAATTAAAGCGCGCCCAGGTTAAGTCTAAGGAGCTCGTTTTATTCTATCTTACAAGTATTAGATCTGTTATGGAAAACGCATGCGCGCTCTTTCACAGCTGCCTACCTCAATATCTATCAGTTGATTTAGAAAGATGCCAGAAGCGCGCATTATGTATAATTTTCCCTAATAAAGAATATGACGAGGCGCTAGCGTGCACTGGGCTTATCTAGCTGCACGAGCGGCACGAGAATATTGCCAACAAGCTCTTTTCTAACGTTCTTGTACCAGGTCACAAGCTGCATAAGCTCCTGCCGCCCAGGAATGTATCTAGAGTAGACTTTAGGAAAAAGCGCGCTTTCAATTTACCTGTGGTCTGTACGAACAGGTGC